TTAGCCATATAAATTCATGCGTTTAAAGCATGCAACATACAATTTTATTAACACACAACAGTAAAATGTGGCAAACCAGTCCATGAGTAATTTTAAATCAAGCTGTTGTGACGCTCTATAAAACGTGGTCAATCACTTAGTGATTACAGGAGCTAAGTAATACAGGGTTAAATACGCTGGCTATAATAATCGTTTGAACATGTTGATGAAAAGGTATTAAATTATGGTCTTGGATTAACATGTCTGCTCATTTGGAGTAATAGATAATCCTGAAGTGTTAAAATGTGAATATTAAATGTTCTGTTGAGAGGAGCAGCTTGTTGTCTGCTGGTGCTTTTCCAAGAGGCCGTTCTGTTGAAAAGGGAAGTCCTTGTTTACTTCTTCTAGTGGATGCAAGCGTGAGATCTCAGGATTTGGGAATCCGCTATGAGTTGAGGCATGGTTAGGGAGAAACCTGGAAAAACCTCCTCATTGTAATTTTGTAGCCTGCAACATGTTGATGTTCAGTTAGATGTCTTGCTGTACTATTTCAATAATCATGGCAAGGTATTGTTTTGAGCTTATTGTTTTGGTCAGAATTCTGCTTTGTGTACAGTTTCTTGACCCTTCAGTTTCGTTTGGGTAAGGTTATTTTGCCTTAGCTGTAAGGTGTAGTCATTTGTTTAGTGTGCTGCCAGGTTGCCAGGACAACAGAAAGTGCGGAATAAGGTGCCACATGTCACATCATTACAAATGTGTGTTAGTCATGTCACTCTGGCCCTGTCAGTAGATTTATGACAAAAACTAACTGAAAAGTGTTAAGTCAGCCCCTGCTGATGAGCAGCAGAGCAAGGTAGCTTTGATGCAGCAGCCGGTTACATCTTCACTTGTCTCCCTGCACTAGTTGCTGCAGAAACCAATTAACAGGTAATTTGGATCACCTGGTGTTCCAGGAGCTTCGCAAGATAAGCACTTAGATCTGTCATAGCTCGGGTTTGTGTCATTGAGTTTCTACTCTGAGCACCCTCAAATCTTGTTCCTGAGTTTCTACTCTGAGGCCCTCGAGTCTTTGTCTCCGTGTCCCAGGCTTTTTTCCCTAGCTTTTGAGCTCTCCTTGCTTTGTATCTCGAATCAACCTTTGGCTTTGTTTTCCTTCAGTGTGCATCTCAGCTTCGACCTTGGTTTGCTTCAACCATGTCTCCCGGATTTCCCCTTTGTGCTTTGGACTCTGCTTATCTTGCTTTCACCTTCTTTGACCCCCTTCCTGCTTGACCACGATCGCGGGACTGTACTTATACCGCACAAACACAGGAACGCTTCCCCAGTCCCGAGCTGGCTACAGAACCGATCCGCCTGCATGCTCAGCACAGCTCCCTGCGCAGTACGGACTCGGTGTGCTCGCAGCTCGGCGCAGTTCCCTGCATATTGCCTCTGGATTTTCCCGACTCAGCTGCCTCTTGCCCAGCGCTCAGGATCACGCTGTGCCTCAAGATTGGCTGCTAGTCATTTTCCCTTTCCTTATTTTCTTAACTAGCGATGAGCCAAAAAGGCAAAAACTAGGGCACCGAAGCTTTATGCTATTGAAGCAGTTTATACTGTAAATGACTTTTTTGGGGAATCATTTCTGACATCCAAAAATAATAAAGGTCACTTGTGCCAAGTAGATAAATGCCAATGATATGGATTTATTACCTCAGATTTCTAGAAGCTGTTCTGAACTCCGAGGGGAGAAAGGAAATTCCTTTGCTTTTACAATTGGAAATGTCAGATTTGTCATTGAAAGATTCATGGTGTAAACTTGCCCTTAGTGCTTCTAACATTTAAAATGAGGTGGAAACTGTGTAGAATTATTGTATCAACTTGCTATCTACCAGAATATACTGAATTTCAGACATTTTCCTGTGGTGTCTGTGTATAAACGATATAAACGGTAGCTTGTATGACCATGTTAAAATGAGGTTTGGTTCGTTTTAGTCTTTTCAATTTTCAAATATCAAATGGAGTAGTTAGGTTAGTGCTCTTGATTCCAACTGCAAGGTTCTGAGTTCAAAACCCAGGTGGGATGCTGTCATTCAATAAATTAACCATTGGTTCAAAAAAAGTCTAAAAAATCCAAATCTGAGGATACAGTGGCCTGGGACTAGGAGTAAATATCAGTGTTTACGTTACTGTTCTTTTCCCCCTTTTCTTTCATATTTGGAAGATACCAAAAATTAATTAACGTGAATAATGAATAACATTTCTCGTCCATCATAAGATGTGCAAAATACCATATCAGTTAAAGCCCTCTTGCACCAGAAGTACCCTGACTGTTCTTATTACGGCAGTTTTAATTCAATATATGGTACTAAGTACTAGTGGTGGTTCTGTACTGATTTCCAGCTCTCAGTAGAGTCTGGTTCCTCTTTTTGCATGTGCCCATCATCAGTTCTCTGAAGAATATTGGTTCCGGACTGATACTGTAGAAAGAGTAAGGGAATGATGATGTCCTGATTAGGACTGGATGATATGTCCTAAACTTTATATCACAGTATCATTTTAATTTTGGACAGTAACGATATACATCATGATATATCATTTTTTCTCATTATTTCAATAGAACATGCTTTAAAAGGAGTACAAGACTTGGATAGTACGTTTTTATTGCCTGGAGTTAACTATTAGGTTATAATGAACTGTTGGTTAGCTACTGTGTTGTTCCTATTTTTGTATTTTTGAAATTTCACATTGAACTGAAGTAGAAGTCGAACATTTTAAGAACATTTGTATTTTGCAGAACTGAAACAATACAAGAAACCTATGAACACGAACAAGTAAATATAATTCTTATAAACTTGAATTTGTAATACTTCTGAAAACGAAATAAAATTACAAAAATAAGTTTAAAAATATTCAAGCATTAAAGTAATACCTCCTCAAGTATTCAAACGTCTGCTTAGTGTAAAAAATTGAAAAAGAGGGTGCCTTGCACACACTAAGTTGTACTTCAAGATACAGAGTACGTGCCGGAAAGACAAACTTGTCAACAGCCTCTCGCGGTCCGATTTCTTAAATTCGAACCATTTCCAGACAACCGATGAAGCACCCTTATTTTCAACAATTTCATTGCTTGCTCCTGTCTCACTAAAGCTGCCTTTACCCATTTCTCCGCATATTAGTGTTTGCATACCGAAAGTGTACTTGATTTCACAAGGATAAAAGGAAGAGGACGCCCACGTGTTTTTATTAGCCGCAATGACCTCGGATCCGTCATAAACCGGACGTCTGAACCACCGAAGATCAATAATTCTGAACCTATCAGGTTTCCAAATATCACCAATATGAACTTTTTTAGAATTTTATAGTTGTAGCTAAAATAAGGCAGAATTGTAAGCTATGATGGGTCAATAGTAAAAATCTGCGACGATGCGTAATCTATGTAAACATCAAAATCCCTATACCGTACAGCCAAATCCATAACGTGGCACATATTTCTACCGGTATACTGCTCGCCCCTACATGAAATGTGTAAGTTTTGCTGTGTCTTAAAGCAATTTGTATTTCACATAAAACAATATGAGGTAAAAGTGTAGAATTTCAGTTTTTGTTTTGGGTATTGTTTTGCATACATGTGTAACCATGTTAGAACAGTGTCGTTTCTTTTGTTCAATCCTGCCTTTTCAGGTGAGCAAAAGTATCGGGACAAATGGCTAGTAGGTGTTTCTAATTGCTTAGGTGTTCCATGTACAGTAGCATTCATTGTTAAGTGAATGTATAGCCTTTGGTTGGAGTTTACTTTTTGGACTGCCTCTTGATTTAGAAGGTGTATTACATGCAAACACTTAAACATTTTGTACCCATTTATACCTTTGGATACCTGCCTGGAAAACTAATTGAAGCACCTTTCTTAAGGGAACACCAGCAGTGTCTCACCTGGAATTTAAATCCACACCCTTCCAGTTACTAGACCAGAGCCCTACCCACTCCTCTATGTGGCTGACTTCAATCTGTTTTTGTCTTGAATTCCTGCTGTGGTATTTTGGTATTTGACACATTTTCTAGATATTTACTACAGCATTTCCATTTTTTTGTAGTTCATTCAACATTAATGGAAAACATGGGGAAAAACTGTGCTTGAAGTTCCATGCACTGTGTGTCTGTACAAAGAAATGTGGTCTACATTTACAGCAAAATGTTTTTGTTCTTTTGTGCTGCAGACTTTGACAACAATAATTGCATGAAGGTAGAGATTTGTTTTTAGAATGACCATTTTAAAGCTGCAGACAATGGATTTGATTTTTTACTAATTGGTATCAAAATATGACAATTACCAATTACTTGAAAAAAAGTATTTTAATAATTCATTCAAGTGTTTTATTAGTCATTGGTTCCCTGTGAGCTGAATCCTTTTGTCTGCTTTGGAATTATAATGAGTCCGCAAGTGAGGTTAACTAGCCTAGTGTTGTAGCGTTGTTGTCATTCTGTACATGAAGCATAAAGTCTTCATTAAAATTAGAATATAGTGGAGGTAACAACAGTTTTTTTTCTTCTTGCAAGGCACAGTAAAAAGTCAAAATTCAGTGAGAGGACTTGCCTTTCTGCATATTTGCCTGCATCCACATGCAATGTTTCTGTCCATCTGTCTGTATTCCTGTTGTTCTCTGAATGTATTATTATATATGTATGCACACATATACATATACCTATATTTGTTATTCTGTCATTACATTCTGCTCCCTGTAACAATTATACATTCTTCTCTATGTAACATTTGAGACGTCAGAGTCTTCAGGACACAAGTTTTAGTGCCACTAGTCTGTCTATTTTGGAAGTGATATTGGAAATGGTTACTGCAACAGAAAAAATAAGAATTGGATGCTTAGCCTTCCATCTCATCGGTTAAAATGAAATACACCACAATAAAGTGTTGATGTAGTATGCTCAGATTTTTGTCTTTTTTCCCTGTGTTAATACAGGAATATGCATGTGTTTGTACAGAATAATTTATGCCAGATACTAGATTTTATTTCCTTTTTCTACAGGGGCTGCTGGGTGTATTGACACAGACCAGCTTATCTGTGATGTGCATCGTTGTCTTCCAGGAACTTCATACGGTAAAGATATTAAGCTCATATTGCTCAGTGTATGAAATAAAAAAAAACGTTCATAATTCAGAAAAGGATATTGCATAATCTCTGAAATATATAACCTTAATTATTAATTTTCTAGTTTGTCTCCTTCACTGGAAAAACAAATGCTGGTGTTGACACTGCAAAGACATCAGTTTTACTTTTGTGCGAAGATGTGCAATGCAGTGTGTCTGATTGTAAGTTCATTGTATTTTACTCTGCTAAATAATTTCCAGCAAATGACTTATAGCCCAGCCCCACTGAAATTAAGGGAGAACAAACTTGCAGTAGCAGTTTAAAAAACAGCACCACATGTGGATTGAGGCATTTGACTTGCAGAGTGCCTAAAATTTCCAGAAACCATTGTGAATAACTACATTTACAGACAGGCTCTGCAATAGTTCTTTTCATTATAATACTTAAAACAGATGTCTGTGCCACTAAGGTAATTTCTTAAAAACAATTAACTGTGGTTGTCAAGATTAACAAAACGCAGTTAGAGATAAGAATACAAACCTTGGTACAGTATATATATTGAATAATGTGATAGAATGCTGTCTTAATCAAATATATGTTCGGCTCATCATTGTCTCCTTTAGATGGTTGTTTCTGATTATTATTCAGTGCTTGAAATAACCTGATCAGTTGAGTATTCAGAATGAGCTAAAATTGAAGAAAGCTTTAGTTACTTGTAGAAATGGTAATTGTGTTGACTTCTAAGGGGCACACCACTGTAAACATACAAAATTATTAACTCTAAACTATTATCTGTGCAAAATCCATTTTTCTTTACTTTTCAATTAAACGCAATGTGAATAGATTAGGATTGGCACCTTGTTTCCTGATTTCATTTGATGAGATGGTAACCATAGGTCCTGAATGTTGTGGTCATTAAAGATATTGTATCTTTACAATTGGGTATTACACCCCTACTCTTATGAGGGTTCACCCAAAATTGTTAAGATTCAGTTAATTAATGTAGTTGGTAAAATATTTTCTCACTTCTTCACCAAATCTTCTGTTGGAGGTATTGAGGCAGAATGGCTGTCTGCATCACCCAGGTGCTCCTTCACTATAGAGGTGGGTGAAGGGGCCCCCTCCTTTCTGTATGTGAAATGCTTTGGAATGAAAGACATCTGTAGTTTTGTGTGAAGGTCTGCACTGCAATATGTCTGATTGTAAACTCTTTTTTTACTGTTTTACTGTTCGAAATAGTTTCCAGCAAATGACTTATCCAGCTCCACTGAGATTAAGGCAGAATAAACACTTCTGCATTTTTTTATGTTTAGAACAAAAGAATAATCAGGTAATAGCATGGTTTGTGATCTCAGTGACAGTGCTAGAGCCAAAGGATATTTCAAGATCTTTTGCCACTGTTGTAATATACCCTTCATAACTGCACATTATGTGAAGTAGGAATTTGCCAGCTGTCAAATATGAAATATGAATATGAAAATAACAAATATTTTCCCTTTTCTTCTCTGTCTCCTTGCAGCTGTAGCCTGCATAACATCTACAAATCTGTAACAATGGTAAAAGACACACAAACATCTTCATAAAAGTAACCTGGATTCACATTGCCATTAATTGCCTTATGTTGTGTAACAAAACAGCAGTATTAAATCCTTTCTGTAGCAGGTATGGAAATCGGAATCTCAAGTAGTCAATTAAAATGACAGCTGGTGTACTATGCTGTTCTTGCAATGATTTGTTTGGCAGTCCAATCCCCTTACCTTTGTGACAAAAAAACAGCCAGAGCATTTTTGCTTATTTACAAGCATAACAATCACTTTTGTTCCCCTGCAATATAGTGTACATGTGCTCCGTACTTGTGTTGCTCCAGTTCATTGTATAGTTTCCAATGTCCCGCCTAGAATGGGGTTGGAGTGGAGATGGATGATAATTAACATTCTGTGGCCTGCAAATTACCTGCAGACATATGTATGAAGTCTCAGTGTGAAGTGAGACTCCTATGGTGACCTTAGTCTCCAGGACTCTCAAGGTAACTCAGCAATCTGTGGCAAGGGACCTGTCCTTTGGCAAAGTGAGTTTAGTGCTTGTTTGTTCCCTGCAGGTTGGGCTACCATGTGCCCCAGTTGGCAGTCTGGGGTCTGATGTCACATGGATATATTGGTGCCGTGAGCAGAATCAGACATTGACATTGTTGCAAAGGTTGAACGGTAAAAGTGTTACCGAGTCCTGCTGTGCAGGGTGAGAATTTTTCTGGTGAGGTTCCTCCCCCCGGTGTCTTAAGAATGTGTGCAAACTCCACACAACACGGCACTTTTTAGCACAGCAGCTTTTTTTGACCTTCTTTGGGAGATGCAGTTGGGGTGCTTGACAGTGCACCTGAGACAGAAATCCGGCCAGGTACATTCTATTGAATTGCGATTTGCATTTGTTGTTTCTTAATCATTTCTGTCCACTGTTATAAACCTCGGGTAACTTTTAGTGACTAAATGCTGGAAACAGCAGACTGCATGTGGGTCTGTTACTGTCAACCAAATATATTCGGAGTCAACCTGATTTACTCGGATGCATCTATGTGTTTAGCAGGCGATGTCCCATTGACTTGTAATGTTAAAGTACTGTATATGTAACAGATGAAGCTGTAATACAGGAAATAATTTTTAGATTCTATTTCTGAAGCTTAATAATAAATAATGCACTCTGTGTGCAATTATAGGGGAGTTAAGAGACATACAAGTATTAATAATTCTAATTTGTTGAGCCCATATGTGTGTGAGCATTTGCTTTGAGCAAGGTTTTTTGTATACATTACAGGCCTTATATAATATCACAATGAACTAGTTTGTTTAGTTTGAAGATTTAAAATGTCAAACCCGAAGCCCTTATAAATCTTTAAGTGCTTAATGATAATGTAAAGCTATTTTTTGCAAACAGAGTACTTCATACTGATAATCTTTTTAAGTTTGTTCCAAGGGGAAAGGAGAAAGTACCTTTCACGTGAAAAACAGAAGCATTCTTTGTCTTTGATTTGGGCAAGGCTGAGGTCCTGTCAGCAAGCTTTACACTGTTTCAGCAGCTAAAATATTGAATTACTCCAATTGAGTAGAAGAGGAATGTAGAATTTCCTCTCTGGTCTGCTCTCATCCTAAATTTAAAAATAGTGGATTACGACGGCAGTGGCTTATCGCACTGCTGATATCGGCTGTTTTTTATTTACTTAAAAAAAAACTATTCTTTTAATTCCATAGGTTTGGCTGTTCCTTCCAATTTAAATATACATTTATGGTTTCATTTGAAACTCTTGTTTTGGCTTTGTTGGTGGGCGCAGTAAACTCTGAGCAGCATCATTCTAAAGGAATGCTATCGAGCTGTTTATTACTCCAGAACAGCATTTGATTTAATGCATGTCCAAAGCAATCACCACCTGTGGAAAACCTACAGGTATTTATTTGACCACATAATGGATTGTTGACATAGATGATTTTCAGTCTTGGTCTGTGCTCCATATTTTTTAAAGCTTTTTTTTCCAGACAAACTATAAAAATACTGGTTTTCAGTTTTGCTGTACCTGTACTTTCTGTGCATGTAGTATGTATTGCTCAGTATGGAAATGAGTAAATATCAGAACGTAGAAAATCTTTCTTTTCAGAAACGTGCTCTACTTTCTGCCTCTTCGTGGTTATGTAGCAAGGAAGATGTTGAATAAAGAGGAAAAGAGAGGAAAGAACCCCCTAGGGCTATAGAACAGCGGGGGTCTCCACATGACATCTAACCCGTGCTATTGAATGCAATATCTGTGAACTATATGGCATGAAATCTGCTGCCTTCCTTATTGTATAACACGGATTAGTTGTGTTCCTCTAGAGGATAAGTTGTGGTTACCCTTTGTGCGGCAGGGGGTGTGTAAACTTAATTAAGCAGTAGTCTATAAATAAAATCCGAGGTCCTGACTCTCTGTGGTCAAAAGAGTAAGGGTATCCTGGCCAAATTTCCCATTGTCCTTTCCCAATCATGGCCTCTTAATAATCCCCATCTATTACTTTAAAACAAATGTTCTTTAGGTAAGAATCTAATAGACTTGAGACATCGTCTCAATTGGCCAAATACATTAATATGGATTTTGGACTTGGGTGTAAAGTAGCACAGTACCGTCTGTTTTAGGTACAAGTTTTTTCTTCATTTTACACAAAATGACTTAATTGCATCCAGAATTAATTGTTCTTGAAATCCTAAATGGATTATAACTGTTGAAAATTACATTAAAAGCGTCCAGGATCAGGTAAAAAACATTTAACTGTGAGGTTGTTGGCTTTCCCATTTATTGGCAAGATCTCCCAACGTTTGCCAAAGCACAGTTTAAATTTATTGGTTTGTATTGGCACCCAAGATTGAAAAGCTGGTGTTAACAGAACTAAAATGCATTGAGACTGTTTTAACATTACCAACCAAAGCCTGTGATTTATGGCTTCCAAATTAATTCCGATCTGGGATGTTATGAAGTGTTAAGACTTGCAAAGCTGAAGAAAAAAAATCCGAAGCCAAATAATTTTCAGGTCGTAATTCAGTTGTGACAGTAGCACAGAAGTGATCCAAGAGTGTGGCTCTTTGGAATACCTGGAGCTCTCTTTATAGATGAGAAGACAGTTGGGAATGCATGAACATTAAAAGATATGTAGCTAAAATGCTGTTTCATTAACATCCATCGGAACAGAAAACATTCATATTGAAAGTTGAAAGTCAGTATAAATGCTTAAAAGATCCTACAATGTTTCTGCGGACTGTTTTTGTACTTGGCTCTAGTAGGTAATATGCAAGTGACTGATAGAAATGCAGTGTGATAAAGGAAGATAAGCACAGAAACTGAAAGTTTAAAGGTTTAATTGCTTAACGTTTCAATTAATTATCAATTATGCAAAGTTCAAACAATTTAGATTAAATGAGTGATAGAGCGATGGTCTACAACTCAATGACTGCACGAATCTAATCAAAGGCACTGCAGATCTAAAGAAAAGTAT